GGCCGAGCCGCAGCCTCCACAGCCGGGCTGTGTCTCCTCTACAGCCCGGGCAGCCCTTCAAGTTCTCGGTGCTGGAAATCTGCGAGCGAATCAAGGAGGAGTTTCAGTTCCTGCAGGCGCAGTACCACAGGTGGGACCGGGCTGGGCTGGGCTCAGTGCAGTGGGAAAGTGGGGAAGGAGGAGGTGGAGAGCTCCTTCAGGGACACAGTCTGGTGTTTAAGGACGGAGTGAAGCCGTCAGAGCTGGCCAGGAGCAGCTCTGGGGTCAGGCACTCCCCAGAGCTGTTGCTGTGCCGGTGGGACCCAGCCTTGAATCCTAAAAGGATCAGATTTAGGAGCAGGCTCTGGAGGGGTGGGTGGTGGTGGCAGAGCCTCGCCCGTGCAGGAGCCTGGGGAAGGAGGAAGAGGAGGGAGGTTTGGGCTGGGGGACAGCGTGAAAGTGAGAGCTGGGGAAGCCCGGTCTTGAGTGGGGGTCCCACGGGGAGGATCAGCCGAATTTCCTCTGGCTGAGCTGAGTGTAGGGGCAGGGAGGGCACAGAGCCCTGGGTGGGTGCTACAGGTGTGTGACAGCCCTGCAGGTGCCCCGGGGAGGGTTTGTGGCACCCCTGCAGCACGCAGGGACAGGCGGGAGATGTGCTGAGCTTGCCCCAGGGATGGGGCAGGAGCTGCTGCAGGTCCGTGAATGGAAGCCCTGGCTCCTCTTTGCAGCCTGAAGCTGGAGTGTGAGAAGCTGGTGAGCGAGAAGACAGAGATGCAGAGGCATTATGTCATGGTGAGCTGTCCCCCTGCCATGTCCCCTGAAGGGCTGTCCCCACTTCTGCTGCCCTCACACACATCTAGTTGCTGGGGCTCCTCTCAGTCCTACCCAGTGCTCACCTTGGGGCTGGGGAGATGTGGGGCAGGAAGCAGTTAATCACCATTTCTCTTGGTGCTCAGTGCTGCTTGAGCCCAGGAATGCTGCCATAGGTTTTGTTTCTCTCTCTTTTTTTTTTTTAACCTTTTTCTATCTGGCCTTGTAAGAGAGCTCCCAGCTCTTCCTTCTCTCTCTCCCAAGGGGTGGATATTTAAGAGCTGATGTTCCAAAGCTCATGGTTTGGGTGGAAGGGGAAGGAGCTGTTGCCAATGAAGGGTTAAAAGGCCCCAGGACAGACTGACCATCACTCAGAGCCTGCCAGGAGCTGCTGGGAGGAAGAGGATGGGGGGACAGCACAGCAGCTTCTTCTCCTTCATCACCTGACCTTCCTGGCCCCTCTGGGGAAAGGGGGTACCCAAGTGACACCATCCAAGAGGCAAAAAGATGTGAATTTGGGCAAAGAATATCCCAGGGGTGAACACAGCCCTGCTTGTGAGGCTGGGTGTTGATATTGCAGGGCATGTTCCTCTCACCCCTCAGCTGGGATCCCTCCCCACATCCCTGAGGCTCACAGGGATTTCCAGAAGTGCTTTCCTGCCTTTGGAACAGGTTTTGCTGGAGGAAAGCAGGAAAGCTCTGGTGCCTTTGTCTGCCCAGGTGTGGGGATTGGGGTCAGAGTCACTGGTGGCTGCTGAAGGGTGAAACCTGGAACAGGTTCCAAGAGCCAGGACAGGAGTTGGGGGGCAGCAGGACTGGTTTCCCCTGGCTTAAACAAACTGCAGGTGTAAATAAACAGCCTGGCCCTGCTCCCTGCCTTGTCCCAGGCTCCTGGCACAGTGTCCCAACCATTCCTTAGGGCTGGAGGCAGCCAAACCCCGGGCTGGTCCTGGGCCAGCTGCTCTGGACAGCTCCTAACCAGGCTGTGCTGTGCTTTTTGCTTCTCCTCTCAGTACTACGAGATGTCCTACGGCCTCAACATTGAAATGCACAAGCAGGTAAGTGCAGGGGGACTGGGAGGGTAGGGAGAGGCTGAGGTTGGAAAATGATCTCCCTTGAGCCCTGTAGCTCTAATGGCTCTAAGTGACACAGGGACTGGCTTGCAGAGGGATGCAGCAGTTGTCAGGATGTGTTATTGAGTTCCCCATCCCAAAGAGAAGCACTCAGAGCCCTGCTGTGAGCCCTGGTGCCTCCCTGCAGTGCTTCCCTGGGGCCCCACTTGAAGGAGGGATGTGGAGGAAACAGCAGGAGCTAGAACCCAGAGGCAAATGGATTGTCTTTCTTTTCTTTTTTCTTTTTTTTTTTTTTCCTTAATCCCCTTTTCCTTTCCCAAAGCCAGAGGAGTGTTTTCACCCTTCCCCGGCTCCCCTTTTGTTCCAGCCTTAATTTGCTTTCCCTCTTCAGATTTATCAATCTAGTCATCATGGGCTCTCTGCCAGGGAAATTAGTTTGGACCAATGCCTGACAAAGTGGCAAGTCAACTGCCATATCCCTCCAGCTGGCTCAGCCCCTCCGAGTTTGCTCCTTTTGTTAGCAGGGAGCCTCGTGGGGACCACATTCCTGCCACCCTCACACACCCCAAAATCCAGTGGGAATTTGAGCCTGGGGTGGCCAAAGCCAGGTGGGGATGGGGGCTCTGCCCATGAGGTGGTGGCCAAGGGGTTGAGGAGTGGGATCCTGGGCAGGAGGGGGTCTCAGGATCTGTGGGCACAGTGGGAGAGCAGCTGGGAGCTGCAGGTGAGCACAGGGTGCTGCTGGCTCTGGGGCACGGCAGGGAAATGTTCCCTTTGTTCTCCCTTGGCTCCCAGCCTGCTTTGACCTCTGCAGCACCAGCGGGGATTGTCAGAAACCTGAGCTGCTAAAACCCTTCAGAGCAGCCAGCCCCGGGCTGCATTTACAGTTTTCCCCAGGAAATGTGGGGGTTTCTCTTGGAGAGGCTGGGCTGGAAGTCACAGCCCCTTTCCTCAGAAGTGCTGCTTGCCCTGCTGTGGGTTTGTCTGCAACCACAGAGCCTCTCCTGACAGAATGCACCGGGTTTTGTGCATTCTCCCATGGGCAGGGGCAGCTCTGGGGGTGCTTTGTGCCTCTGAAGGAGCAGGAGGAGCTGTCCCAGGGCTTGGTGAGGCTGGGAGTGCTCCAGATCAGGGCAGGTACAACCAGAGAGCCTTGAGGGGTTTGCTGGTGCCATTCCAAGAGGGCTGGATCTGTGCAGCTCTGCATCCTGCTTGCTCTGCCTGGCTTGGAGCTGGATGTTTGGGAAGGGAAGGCACAGGGAGGGCTCCCTGCCAGCCCCTGTGGCTCGGCTCCCCTCTGTCCCTGCCCGCAAAGCCAGGATGGGTTTGGGCTGAGCAAAGGCAGCTGGGCTGCAGGGACTGACAGCTTGGAGCTTGCCTTGGCCTGGGGCCACGCAGGGATTGAGGCCTGGGGTCCCTCCCCTGTGCCTGGCAGAGCCCTCGGGAAATCCCACAGGGATGCAGAGGCAGCAGGAGAATTTCTGTCAGTGGGGGAGAGTTTCATCCTCTGCAGAGCTTGTGTTTGCAGGATGGGGATCAGAACCCTCCATCCATGGTGATACCTGCTGATTCCTGCTTTCCTCCTTCAGGCAGAGATTGTCAAAAGGCTGAGTGCCATTTGTGCCCAGATCATTCCCTTCCTGACACAGGAGGTAAGGAGCATGCAGCAGATTGATTTGCCCCTTCCCAATAAACCAGAGCCAAGCCCAGCCTGAACCACGGGAGGTTTTGGGGAGGAAAACTTCAAGCCTGGGCTGGAGGGGAGGGAGAAGGGGCTGTGCAGGGAAGGGTGGGGCAGTGTGGAGCTCCCTGGGGCAGGAGCAGGGTGTGACCACCCCACCCTGTGCTCTTGCTGCCCAGCACCAGCAGCAGGTCCTGCAGGCAGTGGAACGGGCCAAGCAGGTGACCATGGGCGAGCTCAACACCATCGTCGGGGTGAGTTGCACTGCCTGCCTGGGGGCAAAAACTTCCCTGCCTGGGGGCAAAAACTTCCCTGCCTGGGGGTTTGGGACCTGCAGTGATGGGGGAAATTTTTACTGTTTTCATACACCCATTTTTTACTAGTTTGTCACACCTA